AAAAAAAAAAAAAAAAAGACAAAAAAAAAAAAAAAAACTGTCTAGGAGATTATCCATTATTTCTCCATGTTCTTAACTCTTTATCCCGCAAAATTGCTTTTGTACCTCCCTACTGAACTGTATCCTATCATGGCTGAGTCTGAAAATCACAATCCAATTTACCCATTATTATTTAATGGTCAAAATAGTTTACATGTTCATACGTGGTCATCCAAATGATGTCAAGCATTCATATGAAAATGGAAAAATTCAGGAATTTTTCAAAATCTTTATATTCCACATAATGTAAGCAAGATACTTAGAGATCTGACCTCATTTTCTTAGTTATTATCTACAGATTTGGCACTAAATGGTACCCAGAATAATGATTTGCTGAAAATTCCACTATAGTCTGTCTGATAAATGGTAACTTTGGTTTCCATACACTAATGAACACTATCCAAATTTTAGATTTAAAATTTTTTTACATAAAGTTTAAAAAACAGAAGCAAGAACAGTTAAAATAGTTTAGTTCAATTCTGCAAGATTTGCACTAAGATTTTGGAGAGCCCGGGTTCTATGCCAGGCTTTGCCACTGACTTGTGATACACTGGGCAAGTTTCTGCGTTTCTCTGGGTCTCTTCATTTTCAGCTGCTAAATAAGGGCAAATGAATGACACGTCAGTGGTTTTAATTGTTGGTAGGTATCTTAGAGGCTTTAAAGAACCTCTTGAAAACTGTCTGTGTCCTTCACTCCAAAATAAAAAATGGATATATTTATACTTACCGAAATATTGCACACAGTTATAATTCCAGACTCCTTAAAGGCCATTAATAGATCCTACTTTATGAATCCCTGAACTAGATTATCTCTGAGGTCCTTCCTGGCTTTAACACATTGTTATACAATGAGTTAAATTTTTATCTCATTGAGGTACTGTGCAGCAAAGAGATTGTTAAAGAATAATAATTTTGACTGACCAGCACAAATTTTAACTTGATACCTTCCCTTATATAACCACATAGAATTACACATACTATTCAAAATAAAAATTTTCAGAAATACTCAGATAGCTTTCCTTTTGTCCATCCCATGAGATATTTAAAGTGTTCTGTAACTCCATGTTCTGAATTCAGTCACTTGCTCCAAATGTAGAGAGCATCATCCTTCAGCACACAGCGTGCAGTTGCTACCTGTCACTTCCAAATCTCTTCCTCACACAATGCATAGCATAGCCTAGACTACCTAAGTGATGAACACAAGAAAAGCTTTGTACTTTCCTTTTTAAGTTCACATGAAAATACCTTTGCAACGTATATTCTTGGGAGAGGAGCAAACTTTTTGACCAAGTATCTAAGCTTTAGTGAACAACCACATGGAATACCAGGGGAAAAATGCATTAAAATATTTAATTGTAAAATAGTATTTAACTGTTTTTTAAAGATGTGAAATAAATTGTGAAATAAATCCCTATTTTTCTCCAGATTGCCATTTGTTTTCTATTTTAAAATTATAAGCAAATAATCCAAAAATAAATAACAATTCTTTAAAATAATTAGGATCATTTTAGTAAGATTTAAAAATTTTTTCTCTTAAAATGAAAAACTAAATATACTCTTTAACAGGATTTTTGTTTTTCTGGCACAGCTTTTGTTGAATATATTTTTGCTGTGTTCTGAGTGCTAGCCAGGTTGTCCCTATGATTCCTGACTCACTCAGGACTGTGACTTTGAGCTTAAAATCCACTGGAGAAAAAAGTGGGGTTTTTTTTGTTTGTTTAAGCATATAAGTGTTCAGGAGTGGTTTCTGCAGCACAAGGAAAATATTGCTCTATTTACACATTAAAATCAATGTTGCCTCCATCATCTTTATGTTCTATGGAGAGAAACTTTTCTAACTAATAAAATTTCATTCTAAGTGTATGTCCTGTTGGTAGTTTCTTAGCTCAATCACAAATGGGAACTCTGAGATACCCTACTTTAGATTGCCTCGTAAGGAAATAAATAAGAACTCAAAGTAATGTCCCTTTAATTCTTCCAGTGGAAATGGTGATGAGCTGAGCATTGGCATTCTAGATATATTTGGCTTCGAAAATTTCAAAAAAAATTCATTTGAGCAGCTGTGCATTAACATTGCCAATGAGCAAATTCAGTATTACTTTAATCAACACGTGTTTGCATGGGAACAGGTAAGTTGAGGTTCTTACTATAAAGATGCGTGCGTGTGTGTGTTATATGTAGAACTACACAAATGAAGCAGGACCTAAACCATAGATTTAAAGTCCAAACGTTTAAAAGGACAAAGAAAAGATTTTCTTTTTTTTCATGTCTATAGTAAAAACAGAAACAAAAGCAAACAAAAACTAGTATAAATTTAGTGTGACTTGATATGTGATGTCAAATGTCCTTTATAGAAAATTGATACTCTTCTCCAAAACTTAGAAAGTCTGAGCCCTTGCAAACAAGAGATTTCCTTTGAAAACTTGAATAAGCAGATGTGCCAACAGTTTCTCTTTCTGCAAACTGCATAGCTGAAATTCTTTTTGAAATTTCAATATCCATCTAAAACACATTAAACTTCAGAATTCTGGTAACTAGGCAACAGAACACAAGGTAATGGATTTGATGCAAATGCCACGTAATGGTGGTTTTATCAGGGTACAATATGTAATTTATGACTCAGCTTCAAAAATATTCTTCCTTAGAGAAAAACCAGTGACTTATTTGAACTGCATTTGGAAAAACTATAATAATAATATTATTTAAATTATTTTATTAAGTCTAAAAATGTCATATTTAATGTCATTCAGTATTCAACTAATATTATATCATTTTGTGTTTACTGATTAGAACTAAGGTTTTTATTTGAATCTGAGCTAAATTAGAGGTATGCTAACGTCTTGTTATTCAAAATATTTAAGCTTATTAAGAATTTATTTTGAAATTGCATTTTGAAAACAGTTGTCACAAAAGAAGACATTTAGATCTTGACATTTCTGAGGCCAAAAAAACGGACATAAATTTAAGACTTTGTGCTTATCCAGCACTCTCTCATCTACCCCAGGATCTTGTTCCATCAAATATTCATCCACTTTTTCTCCCTCCCCCACTTTTTTATCTCCTTCTCCACCCCTCTCTATTGGTGCCCTCCCATAGCCTAGACATATGATAAAATCTCTTCAAAAATCTTAGAAACAAACAGGGTGAAGAAAGCCCTTCTCCACTCTGCTTATCTCTGTCCTCTCTTCCCCTCACAGCCAAGCTCCTTGAAAGCATACTCAACATTCATTGCACTGCGTTGATTTCTTCCCTACCTGGGCACACTGAGCCCATTCTTCTGGTTCTGACCTCCCCGACTCCACTGGAATGGACTTGCTACGTTTTTGCTTTTCTCACTGGGCTGTAAACTCCTTTAGGTCAAAGATTGTCTTAATTCTTTTTGTATTTTCAGAGGCTGACATATAACAAATGCTCAATAAATATTAAATTAATGTCATCTTGCTTTAATGCTTCGCAATTCTTACAGATTCTAATCAAATCAGAGACTGAAATAAGTAAATTTTTTTGGTTTGGACTTCTCGATATAGATCTATTAAGAATTCTTACTTTATGGGACTAGGTACAATCTCTTCTATCTCCCATCTGATTAATTAATGCCTTACTGTTCTTCTCTTTTGAGTTGCCATTAGAACCTGGTTTTATTGAAACTAGCCTTAAACAAATACAGATTTTTCAATAATTATTGCATTTCCCTTTTTATAGAATGTTATAATTTACAGATCACTTGAATTGATAGCCTTGAATTTCATCCATGATCCTAATGCTTTTAATTATTTTGTCTTTGAGCTTGCTACAAAGGTTGGAAAGGGGAGGTGTGGGGAATTAGGGAGAAATTGGTAAAGGGTCACAAAAAATGTTTATGTTGTGTAATGATAAAATAAAAAGATAAAAAAAAAGATACAAAAGCAATTTACCTTAAGATAAATGCTACTGTAAATGGTACTAATTTTGTGTTCCTTTGAAATATGTAAGTTGTGCTATTAAAAAAAAACAATCAAGGAGATCTTTATACATGTGGAAACAGGCACACACACACCAAACTATTCTATAAGGCTCTTTAAAATATCCTTGAGAGGCTATCAAAACAAAACAACTCCAAATTTTTGTCAACAAAATTCAAATAGAATCCAGGATTATACAAAGCACTTTGAGAAGTTAAGGCCATTCTCAATCCTTTCAGGTGCCTTCTTAGGGTAACTACCTTAGGAATCCCTGCTTCATAATCTAATGGAGCAGAATTGGTGGCCGAGTATGATCAAGTTGATCAATGTGTTATCTAGTGGATACAGGATTGATCAATGATTCTCTTGATTTTAACATGTAGGCACACTTTTTTTTAACTCTGTCACCTCCCTGTGAAGGCAAAAAATGTAACTGAGGAATGCTAACTGTAACTATATATATTAGCTATCACACATAAAGAGCATACTACCATTAATTACTGTAAATGGGAAATGGCTATTAAACCAGATCAGTACTTAAAGTCATGGTCACAGGTTTGACCTGAGGGCTCCTTAGTTTAATGGATCCATTATTGGCTATCAGTAAGACATGGTGTTCTCGATCTCATGGGACATACAAATGACATGCAAATCTAGCCAAATCTTAGCAGACAACAAGCCTTGGCATTACCTTCACAGATGAAATACTCTTGTCCTGCTTAAACCAACAGACATTATCTTTATTGATAGTTCTACGACACTGGAACATAAATAATAGTCTTCTGAAAGTATTTCCGTATTTAGCCCAACTTCAATTAAGTTGTAACATACAGTGGGACACACCAGCAACACTGGTTACAAAGGTATTTCAAATATAATTTTCCCATTGCCTTCCACTACAAAAAATAATTAACAGACTACAATAAAACATTTTTAATGAAAGAATCTGTGATAGTAACCTAATCTATATCTTTTGGAGTGGATAATTTTATGTTTCTTGGAATGGTTACCTCCAACTAACCATGTCTATTACTTTCTAAACAATTTCCTAAATCTGGGAATCCCTGTTATCCACTCGCTGGCAGCTATGCCTCCTTTCTTCTCATAAACTACTTTGTGATGGACATTAATTATACACCTCAGAATCTCTTAACAACCAACCTAGCGCATCCAGAGCACTTATCCTTTTTTTTCCTTATTATTTAGATATTTAGAATGTTAAGAGAGCTGATCTATGGGAGCACTGTTTTTCTAGTGTGCATAATATATACTTGCTGAAATTTTTCTGTTGTTTGATATTTCATAGTATTTGAATCTTCCTTACTTTCCCAGCACTAGAGCAATTTTTTATGTATACTTATATTAATAGAATTTAAAGGGACAATTTGTAACTGAAAACAACAGTTAGAAAATTAGATGATAATCTGGGTCTTCGTCACTGCAAGTAGAATATGACCAAGTGAAGAATACAGTTGTAGTCATTTTAAAATTTGAGATTCAATCAAAATCTTTTAAATGAGTTGCAGCTGAAAATTATATAATTCTCTCTATTTTATTAATTCCACAAATGTAGCCTTTCCTATTAAATTTATATAGCATTATTGTGACACACACTGTCAACTTTCATATTTTCTGAAAGGCGTAGTTAGCAGCTCAAAAGGCAGCAAACGAGCTATCCCATTTCTGATAAGGGAAGCATCTTTTCACAGTAGCCCTCATACTGAATTTCCACAGTAAATATGAGGTTACTTCAAAAACTTCATGGAAAGATTCATATGATGTTTCAATTCTGTGTTTCCATGAACTTTTTGAAGTACACTTGTATATAACTAAGGTTTGGGGTTTGTTTGATTTGTTTTTGTTTGTTTGGGGATTTTCTTCCATGTGAAAGAGAGCTCAACAGTAACCAAAGTGTGATAAAAAGTTTGAAGTTCTGGATGGAGTCACATATCCCATATCAGAATACCATATTAGAAATGTACATCCCTTGTCAAAGGTACTCTAGTGTTTGTGCTATAGTGGTAGATTTTGCCCTTTGTTTTAGGTTTGCACTGTGGCATAATCATTATTGTATAGAATATACAAAAGAAATGAACCCTGCTCTCTAGAAGTTTGCATTTCAAATCAAGAGAAGCACACACCAACTGTAGATTGGTCAGCCTGGGCATGAGTTTGAATTGGAACAAATGCCATTGTTCTTTGGAGCCATTGGGCACCCAGAACAAAGCATTATTCTAGAATGCTGAGGACTATTTCCTTATATGGCTATTTGTACTTTGCATAAGCTTTCTTCATCCATTAGAGCAGCATATCTGAATAGCTATTAACTAGACTGAAGTTCATTTTTAAAGGGAGCTATTAATATTTGCTTTTGTAGAAAGATGAGCATCTACCTATATCATTTATATATGCATCCATGGGTTCAAAAGTCATTTTATAAGCAGAAAACTATTTATAGCACATAATGGGAACAGTAACTGCAGGTATGGCTCTGGCTTCTCTTGCAGAAAATGATGTGTACGACTGACATCACCAGCTGTTCACATCCTGAAGTTTAAAGCTTTTGAAATTTTGAATTTGGGCTCCAACACATAATTTGTGACAATTACAAAGAATAAAAGTTCATTCAATGTATAATCCCTACATTTTCAACTTTTTTAATATTATAAAGTAAAAAAGAATCAGTCATCTGATTTGAAAAAGTAACCCCCTTATAAATGTCTTCAAATTGTTTTGCTTAAAAGTGTGAATTTTTATTTTATGTACAACTCTTTTATGCCATATATGTGCAATGGTGGTAACATTTGCCTTAGTTTAGCTCTCCAAGTGATAAAGGCCATTTTATATCCATTTACTTTAATCATTAAAACAACTAAATGCATTTGAGAAACTCTTGATAAACTCTTGATATAACTCTTCCTTTTTAAATGCTCGGCCAAGTTCTGTGTTATCACTTGAGATCACATTCATATATTCTTTAAACTGCTCACACACTCAGTATGGAAGCTGATATCCAAATGATTACATGGGTTTGGAGGCCACCCACAGCAGCTCCCGGCTGTGAACTTGTTCTCTCCCTCTGGCTCTCCCAGGCAACCTGTCAGGCTCCCGTGTCCCTCATCTCTTGCTCAGCACCCACACTGCACACATAAACTGTTTCTTTTTCGTCAGTGAAGTGGGGCCAACAA